ATAAATAGTAAATACAGCAATTAATCCAATTGATATATAGATACCTCTAATGTATGAAAAATGACTATAGCAATTAAATCCAAATATAAATACCACCAAATAATAATTCTTTACGAGCATTCAATGAAGAAGATCTTGTAATAATGATGCATCAACTAAAATGAAAATATGATAATGATCCCTAATATGTTTAATTGTTCGATCAGATTTATGGTGGGTTCAGTAACAATACTGTATCCCTCAACTACATTTATTACAACCCTCCCGATAGGCAATTAGTAAATCAAACTGTCTTCACATCCGTGAAAGTTGTTCACTCTCAAAACTTGTCCCTACCCAAGCCTCTTGAGATCCCGACTCCCACACACGATCCAACAATTCGAGCACCGCATACCCACCATCACCTCACCCGTTGCAACAGCAGTAGAATCGTTCTATCAGCATTATTTCTAAATCCCATTTCCCATAATATGATAATGAATCTGATCTTGGTGATTTAACCTAATGTTGATGAAAATCACCTTATTTTAACTTCACTTATCACTCAGCTACAATAGCGAGGATATCCATGAAGTGAAGTATATGACCATATTGTATATTATCTTACATTAATAAATTCAACAGTTGAGTAAGATAATTTCGGATCACCCATTAGCTGACTAACAAAATAATAAACCAGCTTTGATTACCATCATTTAATTTGAAGAACTTGACACCTTTTGAAATTTTAATAAAATGTAACCTTAAAACTTTGAAGAATTCGATGACCTTAAAAAACAGATGAGACTATAAACCAAATAGCTAGATTTTTTTCTAATGTTGACATGTGGTATTTTTAATGTTCATGTGCCGCCCTGAAATTATAAATTTTACTGATTCTGTGGACTAAGGTATTTATTGATAATCTTTGACTAATACTGTCCAAAAAGTTTAATTTAATTGAGAACCAGAAAATAATGCAGCATCCGATCTCAGTGACCTTAATTTTATTTAGACCAACTAAAATCTTTAACCACCGTAAAACCAATCTAACATATTCATGAACTTTCTTATTTAGTTTATAATTAATTTATTGTTTAAACTTTTTCACATTCAATAAGTAATTTCCTTTCTTGTTGAAATGATATAAAATCAACCAGTTTTACGAAATTCATTGAAGCTTTTATATTCTCTAGCCAGGTGTTTCAAATCTAGTCATCTCCCAATTCACAAACAAATCTTACTTCATGTGATCCATCTGCAGTATTAATAATATTTAACTTATTTAAAACTTGATGACCTTACAAAGACTGATGAAACAATAAACCAAATAGCTAGATTTTTTTCTAATGTTGACATGTGGTATTTTCAATGTTCATGTGCCGCCCTGAAATTATAAATTTTACTGATTCTGTGGACAAAGGTATTTATTGATAATCTTTGACTAATACTGTCCAAAAAATAGAATTTAATTAAGAACCAGAAAATAAGGCAGCATCCCATACCAATCTAAATCATTTGTTTTTCATTTCCCAAAATTGACAGGAGTTTTGAAATTCATTAAATCTTCCATATTTTCTAATAATTCATCGTGTATGATTTTTCTAATTATTTCATCACCAGGCTTATAAACAACACTTCTAACCTGGAGTGAATCGGCTGATTTAATGAAGTCATTTTCATATTCTTCGTCTCCTTCCTCGAACGAAACATTCCAATCTTCTAATTCACAACATATTGCTAGTTCATCTTCATCTGATGATGATGATTCATCTAATGATACATGTTCATTTTCTAATTTAATGAACAATTCAATTTCTTCTTCAGAATGATTCTTATTTTCGAACATTTCATCAGCTAAATTCATTTCATCGTCAAGACATTTCATGACAATACCTTTGATGATATCATTTTCAATTGGTTGGAAAAGAAAAGTTTCTCTTTCTGAATCTGAATATTCTTCTTCTGATAATAATAAAGATTCATCTGCTTCAAAATTAGATTCGTAATCTTCTACTGATTTTTCATCATCTGCCATATAATTTTCATCTTCTTCTTCTGATAATAATGAATGTTCATCTTCTTCAAAACTAGATTCGTAATCTTCTACTGATTCTTCATCATCTGTCAAATAATTTTCATCTTCTTTTTCTGTTTCGTTATAACATGATGATAAATCTTCTTCTTCTTGACCTTCCAAATCAGCAACAATGTTTTTACTTAAATTAAAAAATTTTTCATAATATAGTTGACATTTTTTTTTATCAAATATATCAGGATTTTTTCCTTTGAATAAATTGATAAACGATTCTTTAATTCTGTCTTCTAAATTTATTGATGTATTTTCAGAATTATAATTTTCATTTTGAGGTTCTTCAACTTCTTCATATATAGTTTCTAAAATTGGTACCCACTTGGTAGGTTTAATGCATAAAGGAATATCTAATTTTTTTCCAAAATCTAAATAATTATTCAATTTCTGAATTGGTTTTTTTGGTAATAATTCTTCTTCAACTAAAACTTCTTGTGTTTGTACCAAGGAAATTTCTCTCCAATCGAGATTTCTATCATTAGATTTTCCCCATCTTTTAATTTTGGTTAAATCGTCCAAAGTCAAAGGGGAATCAATTTCATTATTTTCCCACCAATCGGTAGCAGTTTTTTTGATGCAAGCTTTTTCTTTTCTTAAGAAATCTTTTGATGATTCTATTATGATTTCCACTTCTTTTTCATTAGAAATTTTTGGATATAATTCTACAGCTGGTTTTAATTTTAATTCTTCAACTGGTTTCAATTTTAAATTTCCAACTGGATTGCATTCTGCACTTCCTGAATCTACGGGTTTAGTTCCTTCATTATTCATAGCACCTAATGTTTCAACTTTATCCTTTTTACCAGATCTTGATCTTGCTCTATATTTGATGTTTCTTTCAATTATTTCATTATCCATTTTAATCATTATATGTTCTGGAATGAACTGATCATTATTCAAATCTTTCATGACTTTAATTTCTGAGCCAACATTTTCGACTAAATAGACTCTACCAAATTGAACTTTCTTTTTCAAATTGTTGACATTTGAAGAATTAATTGCAAAACTTTTCAATTCATCATTTGCTTTAATAATTTTATCCTGACGGATTTTTTTTAATTCAGCTTTATTTAATTTTTTAATAACATTTTGATTTTCATTTTTTTTATCACCTTCAATTTTGTTGCTGTTGTTGCTGTTGTTGCTGTTGTTTCCTTCGTCTTCATCTTCTTCTTCATCTTCAATAACAAATAATGAAGGATCAGGTTTTTCAAGACCCATTAAAATTGATGGTTTAAATACATATTCAACAAAATCAAAAAAGTAATCAGGATTTTGTTGTTGATCTTGTTGATCTTGATTTTGATGTTGTTGATTTTGTTGATTTTGATTTTGTTGATTTTGAATTTGTTGATTTTGAATTTGATGCTGTTGTTGAGGTTGTTGATTTTCA